TCCCACTGATTTGTGAATGAAACTACAGCTGGGCCCTCAGCAAAAAACACAACCAGTTCTGCAGCTTTGGTTCGTTCCTGCATTTGGTGCGGTGTTGATAGGCCTACAAGGGCCAAGCTCAGGGCTTTGATTAAGCAAATGCAACTCTATTCTCTTAACAGAACTGCACTTGCCCATTGGAGGTCTGATTCTGACCCAAGATCTTTGTACACCATGTTTATGTTGCATTGTTTGCGTAATAGTACAGTGCCGAAAGATCTTTGAACAAACTTATTTTATAAAAGGGAATAGAAATACATATGGGGTATGACTGCAGACTTGTAAACAACAGAAATACCTGAAAACCCCTCTGTTCTGCTATTGATCCAAAGGAGTGCTGGAAACATTACTATGGCAACAATTCTTAGCCAGTGGAAGAAGCATGCCATTATCTGTGCATAGGAACAAAACAAGAGGAGGTGTTTTTCAGAACTGTTGCCCACCTCCCCTTGACCTCTACAGATGTGCCGACCTTCTGGCACGAGCTCCTGCTGCAGGAGCTTTGAGTGAGATATGACTTACAGAATTGTTTATTGGCCCATGCACAGGGAATAGAGAAATTCTATTGACCAACAGAGTCCTGTTGCAGAAAACAGCGCTGCATGGAACTCCCACTTTCTAAGAGTATCAAACATCTTCCTTACCTCGTTAACAACTTGGGCTATCAGTGTGAATAAAAGAGACAAGGCTGCTCTGGCTCACTCTAAATGTTGTCTGTGTCATTTGGCAGCACACCACTTGAACTTCTCATCAACACATAAAAATATCTTAAGGGTGGATGTCACGAGGACGGAGCCAGACTCTTCTCAGTGGTGCCCAGCAACAGAACAAGGGACAATGGGCACAAACTGAAACATAAGAGGTTTTAGTTGAATATGTGGAAGAGCTTCTTTACTTTGAGGGTGACAGAGCACTGGAACAGGCTGCCTGGGGGGTTGCGGAGTCTCCTTCTCTGAAGATATTCACCTGGACGATGTCCTGTGTAACCTGCTCTAGGTGAACCTGCTTTAGCAGGAGGGTTCCCGAGGTCCTTTCCAACCCTTGCCATTCTGTGATTCTGCGAAACTCTCGCAAGTACAGTTATTAACTCAGAAAACTACTGAGCAGCTAGTCCGGCCATGTTCTTACTGGGAATAAGTTCAGGCTAAAGTACAAATCTGTTGGCATTGTGGTAATGGTGTTATTTGGTCTATTAATTAGAGGCTAGACTCATAAAGTCGGCAAGAAACCATTTTGCATGATATGGCTAAATTGAAAGTCCACATCCCATATAGCCTGAAGGCAGAATTGAGAGCTAATCATATTCCAGGTGTTTGTAACACTTAAGGAGCTCTGTCTGCTGCTCCTAGTTGCATCTCTCATCCCCAGCTTCACATATGGGTAATTTTAAGGAGTACTGTGACTCTGCCCACCGTTCCTAACCCTGGGAAGGGGAGTGATACTGGCTACCAGTCCAGGCAGACTGTTCTTCCTGTAAACGGCTGAGGAAAACAACTGTGTGGGAGATGGTGCCAAGCGAGGAGAGAAAAGGAGCAGCCTGGAAGAAAGCTTCCACATACACACTCCCACTGCAGAAACACTTTATGGCTGTCCTGAGGCTGGGGAGAAGAACAAGCAGCTGCAAGCTCTTCTCAAGCTGTTTGTTTGCCAGCCTTCTCTCCGGGCAGCCTGTGGTACAGCCAGCTGTGAGAGCAACACAAGGAGGTGGAACAGCTCTGCCCACTTGGGACCTCACTACTGCTCCACAGAGCCACTTGACAGCATGAGCCAAGTGGATATTGGCCATTGTCATTAGTATCGTTATCCCCCCTTTTTTTTAAAAAAAAAAAAAGAAAGAAAGATAAGAAGGGTCAGAAAAAATAAGAAAGCCTGGGCAGAAGATAGACTGTAGAAAGAGACCACGTATGTGAAGTACAAGGAAGGACTGCAAAGGACATCGCTACTATCTAATAATCTTGAGAAAATACACAAAATGCTATCCAGCCTTTCACTACATCCCAGCCTAAAAAGCTGAGTTCCTGCTTATTCTGTAGCAATGGTATAGATCTATTTCTTCTAGAGAAGTATGTAGCCCTGCTGTTCCTCGAAATTATTCATCTTTCCTTCATGGGAAATGTCTCCTGCATCCCATTGCAAGCGGCCACAGTGGCACAGAACATACGTGCATCTGTGTGTATATACAGGTATACCTCACACATGCATACACACAGATGGGAAAGTGTGTTGAAAATGTCTTGATGAAAGAAAAACTAGAGTACACACTTGGATTAAACCTATTTGGTCAATCTTTTTCCCTTCCCTAGAGACAGCTGGTTTTATTCAATATTGACTTTTTTTCTAGTTCTAGATGACTTTGGGTCCTGAACATATAGAAATAGGAGTTAATAATAAGGATATCATTATTATTTTGACAACATCAACTTTGACAGCTTCATGAACTTTATTGAATAAACGATGGTTCATTACCCATCAAATAGTATTTTCCCACTTCTCCAGCTTTTTCTGCCTTCAACATCTGAGAGCCTCCCCAGTATTTTATAAAAGTAATAATCTCTCTTCCAGCCTTTAGGGAAGTAGCTTGATCAGTTCCAGGAATTTTCTTCCATATTTGCTGCTGCACATGTGAGAGCAGGTGTCCTGGGAAGAAATTATTACGGAAATGCTAAGTCAAAGAGATAAGGTACATGGGTAGTCTCAAATGCAGGGAAAGCTCTGTTCTTTTTCAGCTCCCAGGAAAGCGAATTTCACGCAGCCCAGGTTCAGCTCTGCACTCACAAGTAACCCCCTGTTGGCTGCGTTTCTTTATTCTGGGGAAATGCAATTGCTGATGGAAGTCATGCTCACTGAGGAGGAAGCTTGGGACATCTGCAGAGGCTTTCTGAACATCGAAGCAGTGACTACAACAGGGATCCTGTGTAAAATGTGGGAGCATCAAATGCTGATTTTGGGTGGTGGAGATGCTGATAGCAAGCAGGCTGTTGTATTCTCTACCTGCTGGCCTGGCATTCCACTCACAATCACAGCTGTTGTCCAATGTGCCCATCATACACAACTGGCAGTTTCCCGCTCTGAACATGGGCGCATTTCTTTGGTTTGCACGTCCTCCCTTTGTGCAGGACTCTGGCATATGGGGGCTTGAAAGGTTCTCTCAGAAACATAGGACGGTATTTTAAGAAACGGGAGTCAGCCACAAAAATTTGAATCTAAATTAGCTATTTCTGGACTTCAGAGAAGCAGTTCTGTTTAGTACCTTTATCAATGAACTGGATGAGGGGATTGAGTGCACCCTCAGTAAGTTTGCAGATGACACCAAACTGAGTGGGAGTGTTGATCTGCTCGAGAGGAGGAGGGCTCTGCAGAGGGACATGGGCAGGCTGGATCGATGGGCTGAGGCCCAACTGTATGAGGTTCAACAAGGCCAAGTGTCGGGTCCTGCACTTGGGTCACAACAACCCCATGCAACGCTACAGGCTTGGGGAAAAGTGGCTGGAAAGCTGCCCAGCAGAAAAGGACCTGAGGGTGCTGGTTGACAGACAGATGAATATGAGCCAGCAGTGTGCCTGGGTGGCCAAGAAGGCCAATGGCATCCTGGCCTGTATCAGAAATAGTGTGGCCAGCAGGACTAGCAAAGTGATCGTGCCCCTGTACTCAGCACTGGTGAGGCCGCACCTCGAATACTGTGCTCAGTTTTGGGCCCCTCACTACAAGAAAGACGTTGCATTGCTGGAGCATGTCCAGAGGAAAGCAACGAAGCTGGTGAGGGGTCTGGAACACAAGTCTTAACGAGGAGTGGCTGAGGGAAGTGGGGTTGTCTGGAGGAGGCTGAGGGGAGATCTTACCGCCCTCTACAGCTGCCTGACAGGAGGCTGTAGCGAGGTGGGGGTTGGTCTCTTCTCCCTGGTAAGGGACGATAGGATGAGGGGAAATGGCCTCAAGTTGCACCAGGGGAAGTTTCGATTGGATACTAGGAAATATTTCTTCACCGAAAGGGTTGTCAGGCACGAAAACGGGCTGCCCAGGGAAGTCGTTGAGTCCCCATCCCTGAAGGTATTTAAAAGATGGGCAGACGAGGCGCTTAGGGGCATGGTTTAGTGGTGGGATGGCAGAGTTAGGTTGACGGTTGGGCTTGATGATTTTAAAGGTCTTTTCCAACCTAAACGATTCTATGATTCTATGATTCTGTGAAAAGCTTTAGTTGCAAATGCAGATGTTACTGTTCAGGACCATCTTTAGCAGGCAGACAGAAAGTCTGCCACGCATTGTATTAGGAAGGGGGGCTTGCGCTCCAGCGTGCGAAGGCGCTACTCCTGTCACCAGCGAACGCCAAACGAAGCGGCCGCAAACTGCGCTCACCCCGGTTG